TTTGAGGAAAAGCATCAAATAACATATACTATCATAAAACTATCATAAATTACACCTCCATATACTAATAGATCTATATGCCCTTCAATAATGTACAGTAACCAGAAAATGCTCATATAACAATCATGCAATGAAATGGAGAGTGCAGCAACTTTAACTCATGAGATTCGAGTCAAAGTTTACATCAAAGATTTATCATTAGAATGGAAATATACAAATGAATGTTATTAGAACAAGCAAAAATGAAAATTCAAAAACCAAGTGAATAAGATACAATTACATAACCAACCCTAAAAATATAGTTAAAATGCTTCAGAATATCTATAGAACTATTGATCAAAATACAAGTAAAATTGAAGGCACTTGAGGTAATAGTTACCTCTTACTTTGGACTGTAGTGTTCACGGATCCCAAAACTCCTCCACAATACCCTGAAATATGCACATAAAATTCATCATTTATAAAGCGAGTTGTGTGAAAGAAAGAACATTTATTTCAATAATAATTGGAAAAGAAATTTGTGGAACCAACACCATATAACCTAGATGATGAACTAAAATGGTACATGGTACCGAGTATCCGTGAGCAAAAACAGAGAAGTGAAGAACTAAACAAAGATTTCAATACCTATTATTTTCCAGTTATCTAGAACTTCAATTAATATTGCTTAGCAATGCCGGAAATCATCAAAGTCCATCTGAGGTTGAAGTGCCTGAACTACAGTTTTAAACAAAAATCTTGAGCCCCAGCACCTAAAAGATCACAGTAAAAAGTTCAGACAATATCACATCATCAATATCACACTAAAGTTCAGAAATATCAGTTAGTGATGCCAAAGCAGAAATTAATGAAAATGGAACTTACACATATGAAAAGTTTTGATATTTAATTCTCTGTTGCGTATACATTATATATTCTAAGGCGAAGTCGGGATTGGAAGTTTAGTATCTTGGAAGTCAGTAAGAAGGAAAAAGAGATTTGAAATTATGCATTCTGATTTCAATTTTCAACATCATTGGGCTGTTTGTAAAACATTATGTGTACAAATAACAAACGGATACCTTCTAAGTTCAAATTGATGCCCATAATGCATAACTTAAAAGCTCAACTTCACTTGAAATTCAAATAAATTTCAAATGGAAGCCAGATGAAACAAGGGCATCTTTCTAGGGTCAGATAAGCCAACACCATTGATAACCAGTAACCATTAGCTAATGAACCAAAAAGGAAAATAAAAATCTATCCCTTTTTTCCTAGTTAATAATAACAATGGACAACTCTACTGAATATACATTTCTACTGAGGGTTTGAGAAAAAGGTTATGATGTGACTAAAGGCATCCATTTTGAAGATCCTAAACGACACTTATGATTTGTTTCTAAGATCCTTGATTTTGATGCAGGTTGAATTAGTATGGCGCTGTGATTCTTAATGGTCAAGTTTTGAACAATAAGTCAATAGCTGTCTTATTTATCTGCAGATACACGGCTAATTTTCACATACAACATAGGTAAATAAAAGATAAAGAGAAAAAGAAAAAGGCACTAGATGAAGATATGAATGTGCACCTAGATTATAATGTTTTGTGTGTAAATTTACATTTATCAAGTTTGTTGTGTGAAACCTAGTCTTTACATTTACTTCTGGCACATAGAACTCAATTCCCAATTTGAGGTGAACCATGTGCCAGGTTAGGAATGCTAGGAGTGTTTCCTATAACATTCTCCAAAGCAATACAGTGTAAGAGAAACTTCGCCTCTACTTCCATGCCTATCAACGGATATTCAGCATTTAATCCTTCAGAAGTTTTGAATATGTGGGGAGGAACCTGCTGCCTGAAGAGGTCAGTTAAAATGTCCATAGTCTCTTCTTTGCATTTTGAGATTCAACCCCCTACCCCCACCTATCCCAAAAAGGGACAGGTGATGACATATTATTCATGTCAATTTTTATCATCATTAATCTTTGACTAATCAAAAATTTCTGAAAGATGGAGAATATGATTTCACATTGAAACAACTATAAATTAGAGCAAAGTTACAGATGTCAGTGAAGGATTTGCAAGACATTCGACAGACCTATTCTTTGACCACAGTCAAGTATATACATCTGAGAGTTGAGTTAGCACTCTCATGCTTCAAACATAATCTGAAAACATATTTGGTTTTTCCGTTTATGGACTATGGAAGGGTGAAGGAAACTTTAGAATCTTAGCTCGAAGAGAAAAAAGACGCAGATACTTATGAGAGGAATTAAACACTTGAATTAGCAATCACTTCCTTCTTCACCTCATAATCGTAAAATTCAATTGAAATTTGTAGTCAAGAGTTATATCAATTTCGATCCAAGTTCTTCAAAACTCCACAAATCAAATTGGGAAAAGAAACCACAAAGCAGTTCAAAATCCATTAGTCGACCAACTACAAACATCCATTTAAGCTAAACGAATGCATCTACTCAACTAACTGAACTAAAACACGAAATTGGTCACAAATCACTAATAACTATCATAATTGTTAAAGATGCAGAGCAAAAGAGAGAGAATAAGAAAATGAACTCAAAAACAAAACAACCGTCGAACAGGCATAATGACAGTCGGCGATAAACGTATAAGCAAATTTGCATTAAACTCACCATAGAAAGAAGTTTCATATCCCATTCTAACAAAATGTTTCTCTATGATTCTGCCAATCACATGCATAAGTAAGGTTCTGAATAGAGAACAAGGAAAAAGAGATTATTTTTTGTTTCGATTAAATGGGTTTCGTTTGTCCAAACTACAAGCGAAAAATATCTCTGTAGATATCTAATAAATGGATTTTTATGGCTGTTAAGCAAAAACAATGGCGGTTGGTTTGGTTGACAGAGGCATGTGGAAGATGGGATCAGTGTTTGTTACGTAGCCAATTAATGCATGTGGCTTCCATTCGTGTTGTATAGACACGTACACCGCCAACTCCAAATTACCTCAAGTGGACGGGGTCGAGCCAGGGACTTAATTGACATTTGACCTAGATGTTACAAAACACGTGAAAATTAAGAAAAAAAAGTTATGATACTTGTTAAAAAAAAGGTTTATCGTTTCAAAAATCGTTTTACTTAATAGAATTCACTATCCGTACACCCAATTTGTACACACTTGTTGACACATATATTGTTGTCAAAAACTCATTAGATGAAAATAATAGTTTTTTAAACTATCAAATAAGATAATGTCATGTAGCATTGTGTAAAAAAAGATGTACACGAAGCATAATTCCAACTTATACCATGATCACGAACTGTTCACTGAACTTTAATATGATTTTCTTTGCTCACTGAACTTTCTTCATTTGCAGTCCATCCATCACCCTCAAAAATTTGTTACCATTTTTCATTGATGCGGCGAATGAAAATTTGACGTGACAACGCCCGGTAAAATCATGCCAAATGGACTTAGGCGTCCTAATCAGCATAAAATGCATGCCACTTGTATTCCAAAACACGTTTAAAAAATAAATAAAAATAAAAATTCCATCTCATTCTTCCTTCTTCAACAATCAGAAGTTGTCTTCTTCCCAAAATCACAAAGCAATTTTCCCCCAAAATCTGAAATCTACGAGCTCATCTTCATAAACCCAGAAGTTCACTCACGTCAACAATATGACGGCAAATCGCATATTCCACTTCCGGCTACATGTAATTTTCGCATGGTTCCCAAAATACATACGTGAAAGCAGAACTCATGGTTCACTGAAGGCAAAAGATAATCACAGGTAATAAATTGTTCATTACACGGTCCCAAAAGCATGTGAAATAGTTGTTGCATCCAAAAAGTTACAAATGTTCCCAAAGCTACACAAAAAGTTGTCCACCCATCCATGGTCAAGTAGCCAAAGAGATTTCAATGTAAGTTGCATCCACTTGTTAGCGTATGCGAAATGTAGCTGCAGCCATCTTCACACGTCGTTGGCCGTAAACTCTAGCACTCCACAACTGCGACGATTCATCAGCTTGTATCTCTTCAAAGCTGTCCACCATTTCATCCAAATTATCTGCCCACGGTTCCTCAATTCTGTCCTCCAAAGGGTCTACAGCTGGTGCCCGGCTCGTCGACGGACGTTTTCCCCTTCTTGCAAATAACTTTCTCCACGAAGTAGAACAGATTAACATCAAAAACATTAACATAAAACACATTAAAGCACATACAATGTAAGCTTGCTACTTACACTTGCAGTCGACACTCTTGTTGGCTTGACTTCCGCCAACAGGGGATCAAATATGTCCTTGTAGACAAAATAGGAAAATTTTACTTGTCGGGAATTTTTTGTCATCAACATGACTGTAAAAAACTCACATCCAGTACATGTGGTTTTGAATGTCTTCTGTTGTGTCCATGCACACCACAAACGGAGTACATTTGGAAACAACTTAAATCCGTGCACCAAAGGTTAGTAATGCAAAAGCTTTCTTTCAGTTTATAAAACATGAAAATAATAGAATTCGATATTCCACATTTTCCATCAGGATAAAGAGCAAGAATCTGAAAAAAAAATTATCAGGAGGGAATAACGTATGATGGAATTCAATATAACAATTACATCACATTTTCCACATAGCACAGAAAAAGAGAGAATCTAAGTTTTTGAACTGAAGGAGGGAAAACATACACCTTAGCAAGGATGGTAAAATGGGGTCAAGAAACATACATTGCCAGAAGTGAAGTATTTAGACTGGATTGAAGGAAAAATGCTTAATTGCATAGAAAAAGTGAAGTTGGGTGACCTTTGTCATTTAGCCCAGAGTTTCAATAAATAAAGGTTGTGAAGGTTGTTTTCAAAAGTTAAAAATCTACAACCCTGCTACACGAAATGAGATACCAAACTTTACACTTACTGGGATACAAGGTACTCAAATTTAACATTAAAAGAGAAACCATAATATTCATTCCAAGTCCTTGATGATTAGTCAAAAGCAGAAATACCTGGTAGACTTGATGAAGATAATCCAAATCCATGAGCAGCTATGATCATAGTTATGCAACGCACACGAACGGTGGCACGAGAGAATTCACAAGTCCACCAAGAAATAGAATGGTACACAGAAGGACCATGGATAAGAAATATCCAAAAGAATATGTTTTCCATAGGTAGTGGGCATCATAAACTCTCGTCTATGGATAGATTAACATGCACTAAATGACAGTTATTGTCTGAACTAATCAATTTATAATAACCCAACTAATCAGAAGAAATATAACGTAGCACAGTTAAGAAAAATTATCCAAATAGACAAGCCACTTCGTGTGTGTGTGCGCACTCACATGAGCTCATGCAATGTTAGCATTTATTCACAGATCATGAAAAAAGACTAGGACCATCAATAAATAGTACCAGTAAAAATAGATTAAGTGTATATGTTAAGCATCATAACTTCATTATGGTTATGTTTACAAACATAACGAATAATAGTATTTTTAAGCATCATAATTACATTATGGTTACATTTACAAACATAAAGAATAATAGTTTTTAGCCCAAAGAAACAATTTTAAAGCTGACAACATGGAGGAGCTACTGGATTCATATTCTACTGTACAATCAATTGAAAACAGAGTATGAAAGATAAAGGTAATCGCCGTAAATTAATTTTTGCATTCTGACCATTAAGAGATACTTGTTGTGACTACAATTGCCAATCTTTCTTTGAAAACCTGCATAAAAATATGATTTGATGATAATAATATATTTTCAATTGGAATCATTTTGAAGGTCATAGGCCTTACCATTCTGAAGTGCTCCAACTCTTTATCCAGTAAGACATTGATGTCTCCTGCTAATGGCTGCATATTATTAGGGGATAGAGACTCGTATCTTGCTTCACTGAGTACCTGAAAATCACATCATATAAATTCAACACCAACAGCAAATCAATACACCTTAACTTATCTTTCCTTCAGAGCATTTTATAGATTTGCAGGAACGGATGAAAAGTTTAATAATAGAAAGACCATTTCTTTAATGCGTGCAAGTTGAACTCAGAATGTTCCCCTCTGTTGCCAAGGGGTAAATATCCATAATAGGTATTAGGGCTGGGCAAAATGTCCGAACCGAATCGAGCGGGTTTTTTTAAATGAAATACTTGAAGGGGTATCCGAATCGAGAATCGAATGGTTTGGTTCGGTTCTAGACCCAGAACCGAAGACCGAATAAAAACCGAAATTTTTTTTTATATTAGATAAATACTTTTTCGTATTTGTATTTGACAACTTATTATTTATATGTTATTAAATTAGATTACGTTAATTTGTAAAAGTTAAGATTGAACTTGGTATTTATATCTACTTTTTGTTATTAATATTAGTATCTACTTTCAGGTGTATTTATGTAGTATTATTTTAAATGTTTAAAAATTTAATTATAGTACGGAATCGAACGGAACCGAACCCGAACGGTTCCATTTACTAAATACCCGAAAATTTCTGGAGCAGAAAAAAACCGAATCGAACCGACCTGCGCCCACCCCTAATAGGTATATCAATGCATTTAGAAGAGCTCACAAAATGCATATGATCCCACTCAAAACCCCAAACGTAGAACAAAATAACAAAAGAAATGAGTGGAAGACAAAAAAAGAAGATAGAAACAAAACCCTGTGTAACATATTGACTTGATTATTTAGCACTGCAAAATCATGAGCAGTCCTAAGTAGAAATTGCAAAGCTTAAAACAAAATCACAAAGTAAACAATAAGCCAACACAAATTGAATAGAGCAACTGCTCTGCCAAGCAACAAGAACCATCTTCAGGGTTCTAGAAACCCCCAACTCCATACTCTTTCACTTTTTTCTTTCTTCCTTTCTTTCTTTTTTTTTTTTAAGGCATACTCTTCACTTATAAGCACTGTACTGTAGAAGTTTTTCTCTAAGTGTCCTTTTATCATTATTTTCAAGTTTCAAAAGTCAGTAACGAAATTAATAATGCACTACGTGGCATGATGCACCGAAAATTGTAAATTACATGTTCTTTAGTTCAGGTTTTAAACCATCGTTTGTATGGGGAATGTTTACAATTTGATATATGGAAAACAGGTGCTGCTTCCCTGCAATTCACGATGTTCATATGGTTTCTTCTGAATGTTTACACAAAGAACAGATCATTCCATCGAGCTGTAGAACCCACCAAATAGACTAACAGTTATATCCTGTAGCTAGGTCTTTGACAAGTTTCACAAGCAGATCCAAAGCAAAAACAATGGGATCCTGACCAGTAATAAATTAGAGATTTCTCACCATAAACTTTAAGTCTTATGCTAAATATAGAACTTTACACCTTATTATCAAAAAAATCTGTTACTAAGATGAAAGTTTCTAAGCAATAAATGGCTGAAATAACATGCATAAATGCAAGAGGCATTTTTCATATCCTATATCTGGAAACACCTAAATGCCAAGTTGCCAACTTCGGAGATTATGGATGATAACTTTCAACTTGCATTTGGAGAATTCAAAATAGATAATAAAAGAAAGGAAAACAAAAGCTCTTCTATAAAGAGAATATTTTACCAATTCAAAACCTTCAGGAGAATGTGTAAATTCAATGTCCTGAAAATCCATCGGAAGGCATTGCTGCGCTGCTGTAGATACACGTATAATTGTACAGAGGATTCTAAATTTCTGTTTTACCTAACACTCGAGAGAAAATATCAAAGCATCAACAACAAGTGGGCATGCACAGACACACACACTTGGAATACAGACATTAGGATACCTCTTCAGTAGATCCTTCAAGAGAATTAGATTTTGGATACTTTTTTCTATGGTGTCTCACCAGCAAAGCTATTAACTGAAATGTTTTGAAATGTTGGTAGCATCTAGAAAACTTGAAAAAATTAACATGGAGGACAGACGAAACTTAAGTAAGCCTAATACCTCAACCTCTTCATGATTATAACCATGGAGGTGATCCCCATTCTGCATAGTAAAAGCACGACAGCCAAAATTAGTTTAACCGAAAAGTAAGTATTATATTTCATGTAATGCATGAGTAATGATCATCCTCAGCTGATTCTGAATCATAGTCAAGGAATACTATGACGGACAATTTGGAACTTTGAGGAAATCAATTCATGTTAATCTTTCATTCTCTTGTTTTATCTATGGTATGATGAAACATCATCTACCTCCAGCCAAATTGCATGATAGCTTAACAACTAAAAATCCAATTCCATATGCCATATGATCAATCAAAAGCATTAAATAAAAGAGTTCATACCTTAATAACACGATAAGATTGCTTATGGTAACCCTTCTTGCCAGTGCATAACCCAATATTGTGAAGCAAACAAGCAGCTTCTAGATACTCAAGATCAACTTCATCCAACCGTACTAAAACTTTATTGCTGCCATTATCACCATTGTAATGAAGCTCATTATATTTTCTTAAGCCTTCAAACATCTCCTGCAAAAACCAACTTAATAAAAAATGGCACGTGTTCCAACCACAAATCCATAAAAATGTTCAGAACATCCATACCCTTGCAATGCCCACACATATAGCAGCAGCCTTCATCCTTTTCTTATTATTAAATCTCGATGCCAGTCTGACCACCGACCTCCACCGAGCATTCGCGTTCAGATCAAATCCCTCAAAAACTCGTCCTAACATCTCTGTAATTACACCTTCCCCTAATGCATATCCGGATACCTCCATCTCCTCAATCTCAAGCCTTTCAAATATGTCATCCAATAAAATTGTTCCGGCCAAAATGAACCCCGCTCGGCTCTTAAAAAAACCCTCCCTCCTTCTCCTCCCTCCCATTTCCCTCTCTTCCTCACACAACCTCTCAACTAAATCCTTCAACTCCTTCCTACTGAATCTCCATTCTCTTTTGTAATACTCTTCAAATACTCCAACATTTTCATCTACATTGCTGGTATACCCTTTACAAATAGCTTTCTCAATTGCCTTGATTGTACCAGAGGAACCTATCACTACATCTATCTTAAACTCCTTAATTTTCTTGATTAAACCAGAATTTTCGATCTCTTTCTGAATGTGTTCTCGCATTCTCGTAATTGGGGTGAAATTTTGGGTTAAAGTTACATGACCTAATTTCAGTGATTTAGAAAACAGCACTTTTCCCTTAAAACCCACAGTGAATTCAGTAGAGCCCCCACCAATATCAATTGTAAGAACCGTAGAGTGGAAAACCGAATAGAACTGGAGAACGCCAAGGTAAATGAGGCTGGCCTCTTCGATGCCAGAGAGGGATTCTATCGGGCGTCCAAGTGTCTCGCGGACTGAATCGAGGAACTGGGTCTGGTTTGAGGCTTCGCGTACGGCAGAGGTGGCTACGAAGCGGGTATTGGAGGAGGGAAGGCGGTGGGAGTGAAGAATTTGCTGAAACTTCAGGAGGGCGAAGATTGCACGGTGGATTGAGGGAGCGGAGATGGTGGACCTATCGGTGGTTGTAGTAGTGTCAAGGCCAAGGAGTACGGGTTCTTTGATGCGGTTTAGAGTGAGGAAGCGGCCGGAGTAGGGATCAGCGCTAACAATCAGGAGCTTGAAGGAGTTTGTGCCCATATCCACAGCGGCGAAGAGGTTGCTCTTCGTGGTGGCCGGCGGAGGAGGTGGGAGACTGGTGGACATTTTCTTTACCTGGAAATTACTTTGCACGTGTTTGGCTCTCTTCTACAAAAAGTAAATTAATTGTGCAGAAAATTTTGACATAAAACTTTGAACGGTCGCGCTACACTTACAGACTACAGTTTCACAGAAACTTTACAGATGAGCTAGCCTATAAAAGGGAGAAAAGAGAGCGAAGAGAGAGAAAACGCTGGACGCCCGTCTCATGGAAAATCCCCAATCATTACTCTCCAAAACCCTAGGAGCTATTAATTCCCGAACTCAGGCCGACGACGAACATTGGGTAGCGCTTGGAATTCATCTCCGTCCGAAGCTACCTAAATCCATTGTTCATCGATTTGAAACGGTTCAAACGCTGGACGCCCGAAGCAGCAAGTAGGCGACAATCACACAAATCTCCACATCGTGTCATCACCGCCAGCAAATAGGCTCCCTTCCGTGTGTCACCAACTGCAATTAACCTGGTTTTGTTTATCTGATTTCAAATTTTCTGTTGGCTGTGATTGTTCATATGAACTGAATCTGAAAGTTGGGTTATTTAGCTAACAGTAATGTATTTCTATTGTGTTGAACTTATATGTGTGTTTCTTGAATGATTTGGGGAATATTTACAGTTTTAATTGAATGTTGATGTTGATGGGGAATATCCATGTAAGTTTTGTAGAGAGATTTACAAAATATGTAGGCAACACCTCACCAAAGTTGTTACCAGATAGGCCTAGTTCCTCTAAATTACTGGCGTTGTTCAATGACATAATGAAAATCAGATCAGTGGATTCTCCATTCCCCAAGTAATTGCTGGAGATGTCTAGGTGACTAAGTTTATGCAGATTTGAAAAACTAGGCAAGTTTCCAGTGATGACTTAATGGCTACTGCACTTATTTTGTTACTTTTGCAGATTAATGCTTCTATTATGCCTTCTTTATTCCATTTTATGCCTATTTGGATGATTTGGGGAATATTTATAGTGTTAATTAAATGTAGGTGTTAATCAAATTGTTGTTGCTTCCCGTCCAGGATGAGACATAGAAAGGTTGGTGTTTGTCATGGATGTAGAAGCCCGGAACACTTCTTTAGTGATTGCCCGATGAAACGGGGATGCCCATGTTGTGCACACGGATTGCAAAAATGTTTCGAGGTTGAAAGGGATACCGATAACAAAGATCGATTGTTCAAAACGTGGAGTAGAAATTGTGGTTATTTTGATTGAGTTCGAAATGAAGAATCAAGCGGTGAATCAAGTGTCACGACTGAAGTGGTTGATCTGGTGGAAATCGAGGAAGTTGAAGATTTGCCGAAAATGTTCGACCACCTAGCTCGAATAGCTGAAAGACGAGGCGTCGAGATTTCGTTGAACATCACATTTCACAAGGGGAAATGAAGTGTGGATGTGAATGGAAAAGGCAATGGGAAAGTTTGATGCGGATTCAACTAAACTTGTAGTACATATATTGAATGTTTTATGTCTTTTGTTTTGCTGTTTGAATTTTGTTGATGGCGTTTTGTCAATGAATTCCATTGATGGTATAATGAATTGATGTTTTGATGGTGTTTTGTCAACTAATTCAATTTGATCATTATTCGACTATAGTAGCTTTAAATTATGTCTTATGGCTTGGCTTCTTACCATTAAATTATCTAATAGAACCGAAATGACTAGGAGAACTAATGTATGCTGATCAGCCCGGTACTTAAGCTGATGGAACTGAAATTTTCACCCGATTCATAGTTACTTAAACTGCATGTATTCTGGACAGAATAAAATGCTTAATGGGGTGAACATTTTATCACAACATTTGGACAGAATAATGCTTAAAAATCCAATTCAGCAAACATAAACCACCAGCAAATATTAACCATTCAACCAGCACCAAATATGAACCAGCAGCAAATTCATCATACAACCAGCAGCAAATATTAACCATTTGATAGAATGATCATCACATGGTCATTACAAAAGTGTTGGTACACAATTAGTTCTAATCAAACACGGACAAATGGAGATTGTTGTTCAAAAATAAAAACATGACGACATCAAATCTTTAACGGTAAAATAAGAGGCATCCCTTCAAATCCCTTGAAATCCATTGCCATCAATGTTGGAACGGTTTTCCTGCACAATGACATACCTCCTCCTGCACTTTTTCATTCTCGAACATCATACCCACCTCCTACACTTTTTCTCCATCTTCTCCTAATGTGTCGTCCTCTACACTATTCATATTGTCCACAATTATCACACAATCGGGTTGTAGTAAAGGATCTCCATTCATGTCGTCCATAGTATCGTGTCCTACAACAAATCATGGAGCAAAATGTTCAGCTTAAAAACAAGTATTCATTTCTTTTTGCCTACTCTAAAATAAGCGTTCATTTCTTTTCAACTAAAATGTCCTACTTCATGTATTCTGGACAGAACATTGCAGCTGCATAGGATATTCCCTAAACCACCATTTACACAAGAAGTAATCTTAAATAGTTCTTTTACTATTCATCTTTACTTCTTCGACTACCAATGGTATCTTTGGCCCTCCATTTCTTGGGCATTTATTGTGAAGTTTTAATTGTGTCAATATTTGGTTCAAACGGTTCATAATTTGCTTACTGTGCTTACCATTTAAGTAGGCAAAAAAAAAATTTCAAGATTTGCAATCGTAAGTAGGCAATATGGTGAGCAAATATTACCGTTTTCAGCTAGGCAACAAAATGCTTCAGAAGATCTCTGGAATCCGCTGCTAATATATGCTCCGAATTTAGCTTCGCGCGGGAGTTCGATTTTCAGCTAAGAGTAAGAAAGAATTGGATGAAACGGGAAAGAACATGAACAAATCAAAGCTGTATCCTTACAATTTGCACTAAGCTGGGCCGAAAAGAGAAGGTACACTTACAATCTGCACAGAGCTGGGAGGGAAGGAGAAGGATACAGCAGGAACGAGAAGGAGAAATGGGCTCCATTTCCTTCATCTTTGCCCTATTTTTAAAGAGAAAAGAAACGGGTTTCCTTCTCTTCTCCCGAACCTGCCAATTTTTTAATTTTCTGTAAACTTTCTATGAAATAGTAGCCTGCAAATCTAGCTTTTTCCAACTTCAAAATAGTGAATTGATTGAAAGATGGACTGTGTGCGTTTTATGCACTTATTCGAGTCGAATTAATAAGTTTTTATGTTGTCAAAAGACTCAAAAGATTGCATTTTATTTAACTGAGGTTAATTTTTTATTTTTAAGAATGAATGATCCGTTTCAAAGTAATTGGAAAAGAATGAATGATCAATTGAAGGGCTTGAATTGAACTAAAGAAGGACGTTGGTTGCCCAATTAATTAGGTTTGAGGGCTTGAATGCACATTCTAAAATATTGTTGGACATTGGTGCAAATTACAATTTAATACGGCCAGAGAGAGGTGGAATTTGTTATCAAAATGGGCTTTGACACTTAGACTTGGATTGTGACTCAAATTTAACTGGGCTTGGACTTCATTATATTTGGAAGATTTAGTATTGGATGGCTGAAATAATTAGAGGGAACAATATATAAATCGGGTTTTTAGTATACACCATTTCAAAATTACGGATAGATGTTTTAAATTTCAAAAATTAGGTTTACATGAAAATTTATTTGTGAATTAAATAATTAATTATATATTTTATTAATAAATATATAAAGATCACAAATCTATGCAATTTGGTCACAATTCAAAAANGCGACTGCTCTGATTCAAACAAGTGTTTCAACTCCGGCGAAAATTTTTAGGTCACAATTCAAAAATTTCGTAGGTCACAATTTGCTTATCGATCACAACTTACAAATTTAAAAGTCACAATTTGTTCATCGGTCACAAATCATAAAATTTATAAGTCACACAACTTATTTTACGGTCACAAAACATCTAATTAATTTATCACAAATTATTTCGAGGTCACAAAATAAAAATTTTATACGTCACAATTTAATTCATTGGTCACTAATCAAAAAATTATAGATCACAGTTTATCGTTTGGTCACATATTTCTAAATTTCTTGGTCACAAATTATCGAAATTTAAGATCACGGATTAATAATAAGTCATAATGAACCAAAATGTCGGTCACATACACCAAACACCCCACCTCAGTCCTGATCCTTTGGTCACAAATCAACCAAATAATTGATCACAAATACTACCCCACCCTCGCCACAACACCACCCGAACCACCATCATCATCCCA